TTTGCACTCCGAAGTTCTTCACTAGAAATATTTCAACATTTTCTGATGAGACGAAGACGATATGTTGTAAAACCAATTCGACGAGAAATTCTCAGATATTTCTCAGATTGATGCATTATATGAAGTATAATATTAAATATCAAACTTTATAGCTACTGTAGGAAATCAAGTGGTGACTGAGCGTCACCTCCCGAGTGCAAAGGGTTAAATCACGTTGAAAATCTTCACGAGTCTCACTCGTTGCTGCAGAGAAAGGTGTTAATGGAGTTTAAGATTCTAAAGTGAAGAGAGCTACGAATATACCGAAACGTTCCGTTTAACGTAAACTGGAATGAACTCGCAATTAAGCGGCGAAAGTGATGTCGCGATGCAAATGAACTAACCGGTGATTATGTCACGACGGACTCCTCTCGGCACACGTGATCGCTAGGCGGCAGCTCCTGATGCGTCAGGATCAGAGGACGTGTTCCGTCGCAGCGACACGATTGCATCACGTAAGTACCTCCACGTGTTTCCGCCTGAAACGGAGTTGTCACGTGTGTCGCGCGTACGTGCGGACCGTGTCGAGCCACGCGTCTCCCGGCGAGCACGTGGTGTGTACGACAAACTGATTACACGTTTAATTAGCATAATACAATGAGCCGCGGCGAATAACGCGGATCTGCCTACCGATTAACCGGCATGACGGGGCCCGCATTGTTACTGTACGAATAATTCCCACTGATTGCCGGTTCTCTACCATTCGACCAACTGTGTTTACGTAACAATCATTTCATCTTTCTACCGATACGAATCATTTTATAGAATTTCCCAAGCTATAGAACATGCAATTTTATAAACACACCGACGACTTTATTACACCTCCATTTCCTATGCGAGAATCGTATAGACTTTCAATGAATTTATTTTTGTGCTGATTATGTCACCACTTGATTTCCTACAGTGAAGCTATAAAGTTTGATATTTAATATTATACTTTATATAACGCATCAATCTGAGAAATATCGACGTAAAATAGCTTTGCCCGCCAATTCACGTGATCTCGTCGAGTTGGTTTTACGAAATATCTTCATCTCGTCAGAAAATATTGAAATATTTCTAAAAGCTTCGGAGTGCAAAGGGTTAATTTGATCTCTAGAATTTAGAATTTCGGAATTTTTCATAATCGTCGCGTTAGTAACGCCGAACGACCGAACGAGAAATTCGAAAGACGAATTTCCCAGGTAATTTCGATGTTTCTGCTGGAAGAGTAACTCTTCACCGAACCTTTCGCAGGTACAAGAGGGTTCAAAAAGTGTCTCGTTTATTCGGGACACGTCTCAAACGGCTATAACGCGCTAACGACGATACACGTACTGGAAACTTTCCACGCAGCCTTCTGGAACGGTACCAGCTTTACGCTGGATGCGATATTAAGGCTTAATGACCGGGGATCGCGACGAAAGGAAGGTGGAAACGTGACTGATCCCCGGCGAGCGTAAGCAAAAAGGTAAATATCGTTAGCTGATCCTAATTGGATGCTCTGAATTTATGTTAAACCTCCAGTGAAATTGGAATTTTTGTTAGCAGGTATCTTGGCTTGGTGATTATGATGCTTTGGAAGTATGCAGAAGAATTTTATAGAAAATTAGAAACGTTTTGCTCACGCTTTAGAATTAAAAAGAGAATCATCGATATTTCCCTTCGGTGCAATAGAATTTTTAGGAACGACATGGGATATTTCCAGCATAGAGAAGCAACACTACCATCACGAGGCCACGTGGTACGCCTCGTCCTCATCGATTTGCCGCCTCGTCACCGTCCACGTTCATACCGTCGATTTATCGCGAATTCACGGTACGTCGATTGCGAGCATTAACATTTTTCCGGCGGCGGACCTGTTCGCGTGCGTGGCCGTACCGGCTGTCAGGAGGACCTTGCGCGGAAGTGCGAAACCCGATCCTCCTTCCGCGATCCAGGACCGAGCGATTCCCACAATACACCGCGGATCGCCGGACCGTTTATCGACACCGAGGCACGTCGTATTATCGATTAGCCCCGGCCATGTGTAAAGTCTCCCCCGCGAACACTATTATGGCTACATAAAGTTCAGGCCAGATCCACGATCATGTTGCTTTCTTACCATTTTCCCCATAGAAACAATGTTTCAGTCCTATATACGAAACACGTATCGAAATCTGTCTTTTTCGAAGAGTCCACCGTAGTCTAGATCTCTTTCGAAGATTCGAGCAATTGCTTAACCCTTTGAACTCTGTAGGCTCCAATATTACCAGTTCGAATATTAAATATTTCTATGAATTCTAGGAAAACTACCTTAAGATTATTAGATTTTCCAAATATACAAAGTTAGTACTAAGAAGGGAATTACAGTTCACAAAACCATGTGGAGTGCTAAGGGTTAGTATCTACGTTCCAGTCATTCCACACTGATGACACTAGAGTACTCTAAATATAGATACCTATTGTGATCGGTAACTATGAATTGCTCTTTTCCTAACAGAAGCTGGATACCAAACATGCATCTCTTCGAAGACCTCCAATTTCGATCTAAAGAAAAGAAACAGGAATCGCAATGTCCACTATTATATCTATTATCAGTGACGCTCAAAAACTTTTTTCCAATGGCACCCCACACCGAAGATCACTGCGAGGATTCAACAAGAATGTTCCACGTAGAATGGAACAAACTGGACATCCTCTGTTACGTGACTGGTTAAGTGACTCTCACCCTCTTTATTCCACCTGGATATCTATTACCAGCGACTCTCAGCCTCTTCCTACAACGGCACCGAAGATCACTGCGAGGATTCAACAAGAATGTTCCACGTAGAATGGAACAAGCTCGATTCAAAGCAAACTAATCCCGGCGATTTCCATGCGCCTAATACGGCGGTCGAGCATTATCGCGCCGCTTCGCATCAGGTCCGTTCCAGCGAGGAATAAAGAAGCACGGGACCGTAGCGCGGGACGACATGCTCGATGACTCCCCGCAAACGAGGCCGAGCATCGGCTCGAGGTCGCCGGGGATGCCAGAAACGAGGTTACCGCGAGGCCGGTGACTCCTCTTCCGCCGGTGGAAAAGCTTCGAGCCGCGAGACCGCCGGACAAAACTGGGAGATCGACTCGATCCGATTTGATCGGATGCTGCGCCGCGGAGCTGGCGAACCGTGCGATTTTCGAAGTGAAAGTCCCCGGCCGAGCGTCTTCGTCGGGCGAGACAACGAGCCCTTTGTCTATCCGCTTTCAGGGCGGCCGGTCGCGACGTAAAAGGGATGCGTACACCGAAATTGGAGTACCCTCGTCAACGGGCGTTGTGCAAGTGACTCCGATGAAAGCTGCAGATTACCTCAGCTGTCTCGGGCAGCCCGTGGATTCGACTTTGTACGAGATGTGCTAATTGGTTCGCCGGAGTACGTTACATTAGGTAACCGTCCCGGTGGATCGACAAGTTGGGGTACTCGGGATTGAATGACGAGGCGGTTTCGGGCTTGTACAATGTTGAACGGCTTGTTGCCGGCGAGGCAACTGTCTGAGTGGTGGATTTTTATGTGCAACGACTTTCAGAGGGATTTTTCATAATTCTCGACGAGAAGCTCGTTCTCTTTCGATAGCTATCTTTCAGTTCTGAGTGTCTTGGTTTTCAGACGACTGATATGTTCCGTATTATCAGGTATCGAGGTTAACCGTTTGGAATACCAAGTTGCAAACGAATGATGTGACTATTCAAGCAGCAAGAAATCAGTGTATAGTTACCTTATTCTCTACTATTTAAACATTCAGTGTCTAATGTAGCAGAATCTGCAGGTTTTTTATACTTCAAACAATCGTCTGGGAAGGGTTGAGATTCACTACCGAAGTCTATCACAGATTTACCCTGTTCCGACATTGATTAAGTCACTATTTGCAATGAGAAGTTAGCAAGGTTAAATTCCGGAGAAATCCTTTAGACACTCGACCAAAACAGTGACCACTTTCTCAAACTAAACAGCGACCAAAAAGGACATACCAACCGAGAACATAAACCCTATCTGCTTAAAAGCTACTCGAAGTGAAACGATGACAACCCGAGTCAGCCACGGGAGCAGACTCCAGATAACATAATCCAGTCCGGAGTCGACAGTGAGATAGCAAGAGTCCACTTTTGGTAGCAGAGTGGTGACCGTGATCGCGCTTAGCCCCTCGCGCTTCTAATATCTCCATTTACTCGAAAGTTGAATCTCAACTTCAACACTAGAACTACCGAACAAGTGAAAATGACCCATCCCTGATTTCTCCTTTCCGCGATCATTAAGAACATAACAGGTTCTTCCCTGAGAAGTGATTAACCCCAATCGTACCGCGTGTTTTCATAACGAATCAATACCACGATGTCTCTCAGTCACTTATGAGAATAAAAGAAATGATTAAAATGTTATTCTTTGTGATTATGGGGCCCGAATGTTAAAAGCCCAAAGAAACTTTTGGAAATGCAATATGAAATAATAAAAAAATTTGGGTAAAAAGTTCAAATGTGACTCAAATGTGACTGGTCCGATTAGGTTTAACTCTTCGCGGACGAAGATGCTTTGAAATCTACAAAGTCTTCAACGAATGAAGTTAAATTAAATGTCAGTTACTTAATTAATAGGAAAAAAGGAAACTGCGAGCTGATCTCTCGCTGTCAGAGTAATTAAACCATTTCTCTGCGACTTAGTCTTCCAAACACTTCATCTCTCCGAAATGACGTTCGTCCGCAAAGGGTTAATTGACTCGGCAATACGCAAACTGAAAATCAATTAAACCTTCAATAGGTGCACTCTTGCAGTGTCTACAGAGGATTCTGAGAAAGTGAATTTCGGCGGTTGATAGTTCTAGTGTTAGTTTGAAACGAACGTAACGTTGATATTCTCCAACTCCCGTTCGAAGTCGTTTCCCACGAGTGCGACGTTACGAGTGAAGGGGTTAAAAATAGAATCGAGTCCGTGGGACCCGATTAGGGTAGCAGTATCAAGCGGACTTACCTCGTGCGCCTGGTCCTCGATGCTTCTAAGAACCGCGAGGTTGCGTATAGTCGCGCGTCGCGACTCGAACGAGGATTCGAGCCTGGTGGCGGCGTTCCCGACCTCCTCCACCAATCCCCGTGCCCGTTTCACCGACAATCTGGAAAGATAAAAAGGGGACCGTGATCGCGGCGGCACCGTTAGGAATTCTTGTTCCCCCTTATCGCTAACGAAACATCGAACCCTAACTCGCGAGATAGCGCGCCGGCGCATAAGGCACACGAGTGGGCGCTGACTAACACGCCGCCGGACGTTATCTTCGCATTAAAATGTCCTTCGCCTAGCTATGCGCCGCAAGAATCCACCGTGGAATTACTCGTGTAAGTGTACACGCACGCGTGTCCATCTATAAACCACGGAGACACACATACACACACTCATACACGGACGCGCGTAGGTGCAAGGGTGTCCTCTTTCAACGGAACCCGGCGAACAACGCTGACGCGGGGTGTCCGAGTTGAAAAATCCCCGATCGTCTTCCAACCACGTCTTCTTTCATCTTCCGTCTTATCTTCTTCTTCCTGTTTATTAACCCTTAACGGACTGGATGTACTTCGAGTTTACTTACCGCTAAAATGTACCGTAACATAGGTCGCGAGAAGGAAGTTTCGTAGAAGCATAATGTTTAACGTTGATCGTGAATATTACAATAATAGCGATGAAAATAGTCACACGATTTCAGCTACTTCGTTAAGGGTTACATTAGGAAGTTCAAGAGATTAAAGAGAGAAAGTACAATCGTGAGATCTTGAATTGCTTCATAATATTCATTAACCCTTTGCACTCGAGAGGTGACTCTCAATCACTTGATTCGATACAACAAAACTTTGAAGTTGAGTATTTAATACTTCAAATTAAAGTTAGCACTGCTACGTGAAATATTTAAACACCTCTGTTGCTTAATTTATCTATGAATTATCGTTAAATCAGTTTCAAACAGTATGACCTACATCTCGTCGGAAAATGTTGAATATTTCCATTGAGAGACTTTCGAGTGCAAAGGGTTAATAACAAAGAACTGCGACACATTTACTTTTGCTCCAAGTGATTCCTAAATGTTTAAAACTCTAGTCGATTCGCGTCAATAGGTAAATTGTTCGTTACAGACTGCGCGAGGAGAGAAGAACAGCTTGTCGGGATAATTAAAGCGGAACCAGGAATAGGACGACGGTAAGGTACGAGAGGGCATATCGACCGGGTGTCCGCGAAATTCGCCGGCGGGCATGCGTGTACACTTTCTAGGTTCGCGGAGTTTGCGGGAAAACGGTCTAACCTAACGTGCTCGAGGTGGAGGAGAGGCGACGCGCGTTCCTCCAGCGAGGCGATCGCCTCCTCGGCGTCTCTGGACGTTCGCCTCAACGTGGGGTCCGTGAGCAGCCGGCCGAGAGGCGTCAACGTGCCGGATAGGCTGCTGCATTCCTTCAGCTCGGACATCTCCAGGGCCAGCCGGCGACCGGTCGACTGCCATTCTGTCATCAGGCCGTCGTACTCCTGCGGGAACACCGAAATCATAATTAACGTAGTTGCTTTGGGGAGAACGTTGATGGCAGGAATATGGTAGAAGGTGGACAGCAGTTGCTTTACGAGGAATCCTGTCGAACTATGCTGTGGGTGTGTGTGTTTGAAAGTTCAAAGGTATCTGGGACATCTGAAACGTTGGGTATAGGGGATTTGATTTTTGGTGATATTTATTTTGAACGTTTGGCATTTGAAAGCTTCGTTATTGGATTATTTGAAGAGGGTTAGATTTAATATTGAAGACTCGAGTTATATGGTTAAGTTTGTTCTCAGTTGATTCGTTTTTAGTATTGGAGAGATATTGTTTCTTTTTATAGACGATTGAGTGAGATATCGACCAAGGAGGGCTCGATTGAAAGATGAATAGATAGCACATGCTTTGAACAACACTGTATAATATCGACAGAAGTAAGCAGAATGCAGAACAGGCACACCTAGCTACCAGTCCGTTTGATTTGCTTATTATGGTGCATTCTGAGGCGACCGAAATTCCAATCACATGGAATCATCCGCGGGGAAATATCTATAAATGCTTCTACTCTGACTAATTGGCGCTGGTTGTCAACGGTCCGACTTTTCATGCAGTTATACAACCCTCCGCGAAATGTCAAGTGTTACATATCTTTCCAAGTCCTATTCCTGGCTCGTGGCTGTTGACATTCCGGAAAATCGTTTTTTCCAACTGCTTACGCACTCGTTCTATCATAATTTATGAACTCAACTACATAGAACAAGTTTCAATATTAACTCCAGCCAAACTACAAATTTCTTTTTTTTAATTGAATACTCTCACCGAAGTAGAACTGCTTCTTTTAATGCCGATCCTTCTAATTAATTCAAATGCCGAACATGTCCTGTAACACCTACAAAAAGAAAGCTCGAAAACTAATGGAATACAAATGTAACTAACGGTAGAGTTCACTGACAACTGAAATATGCGGTTCCCCATAAAATTGTCCTATCATTGTTGTCGATCTGTCATAACAGCACAATGAAGCACAAAATTGGAGCACGAGAGCCGATTTCGAGCGGTCTAATCGTAAGTAAGACACAATTAAGCGCGAGCATGCAGCTGATCGATTGACGTCTCAATTTCGCGGAATCATCCGGTAGATTGATCGATCGTCGGATCGCCGATCGCCAGAGGGCCCCGACTATTCGCAGGCCTGCTCTGTATCGCTGTCGTAAAGTGGTTCGAGGGTCGCAATAGCTCAAACTCGAGATGATGAGCACCGATCGTTCATAACTCTTCCGAGAGCGTATTTCTAGCCTGTAAACTTCGGGTGGTCCGATAAGTGTTCCTAAGAGGACCAACCGGCTCGATGATACATCACCGCGAGCAATTAGAAAAATCAATTACGGCTGGCGGCGCGGGGTGAAGAATCGGCTGTTGAGACCATTTCTCATTCAGCATCGTAGAGAATTTTGTCCAATGATCCGGTGCTAGATTACTTGAAACCCAACCGAAAATTATACGTCTCGCAAAATTACATTTCTATATTTCTATTCACTTTCGAACGTCATCGATTCTACAATAAATTCTAGTTATCACTGTAATCTTTCAATAAATTTTATAAAGTATATATATATATTATAAAATTATAATACAGGGTGATATATGATAATAAAATTATAATATTATATACACAGGGTGGAAATTATAAGGCGTTACAGTCGAATATCTCCGAAAATATTGATTATACATATAAATGTTTCAAACGAGAGTTGTCCAATACCGAGGGGGACATCACGTGGTGGAACTTTTATTTTTCTGGCGGACACTCCAAGGTGAGGTGAAGGTCAATTTTCTGTTTTTAAATGGAATGATACGATTTTTTATCCACCATCAAATATTGCGTTTTAAGACGAATTCGACGACTTATGACTCAAGGTCATTCAAGGTCAAACTTGCAGGGAAATGGAGAGAAGGTGTATATATACTATATGAACAACGAAAGATTTTGAAGATCCTAATGTTGATTGATTGCAGCAGAAAAGTAGGCTACGATCAATTACGAGCATTTGATTTCGTCAGAACGTCGAGCCAAAATTTCGTCCGTCGGTCGTTCAAACAATAAGCGCGCCGTCAAACCGACAATTTCGAAAGTTTTACATAACACGTGTATAATCATTCGAACATTAACACCATTCAATCACGTTTTCGGCGAGGACCGTTCGGGCCGGCCTTCTAATTACTCCCGGGGCGACGGTTCTCTGTTCCTAATGATACTCCGACGTCGGCTAGCATCCGCGGACAATTTGCCATCCCGAGAAAGTTCGAAATTGCCGGGGCCGGTACCGTACGATACGCGTCGAGATGAATGCGCGTTATTCGAACACGCATAGTAAATCCTCGTTCCCGGGATACCTGGATGAGAAGAGGGAGCCGTGTGGCGTCTGTGGGAGTCCTTACTTTCTGCCGAAGAATTTCATGCGCGCCGATGCGACCGGCGATGCACTATGTTAATGCCTATCTCGGCAAGCATCGGCCGGGCCGATCGTAATTTATAAACATTTTCCGACAGTGCAATTTTCTCCTTGTAACGCTTTCCGCGGCGCGTACCGGCAAGGTCGCGGCTAACCGTTCTGAGGCTGCCGCTTTTCCTTATCGCGTGTCTTTCCAATAAATCGATTACCTTAGTCACGGTGATACAATGATCTTACTGGTGGTGCGCGAGCAGTGGTACACGCAGGAACCTCGAAAAATACGACTTTGTTTCTGTGAAAGGTAACAAAGAAATAGAAACTCGTATCCGAAGTTCCAACTTCTCGAAACCGAGTCATTAAAACTCTCGTTGCATGCTTCATTTACTTTTACATCCCGATTCCTTATCACCGATGCCGTTTCTACAACGATCAATCATTTTCCAAAGTCGATTTTCAGAAAACGAACACGGCAACTCGTTGTAAGGCGATGCGAGAAGTTTTATCGGAGAAAATCGATCGGAAAGTCTATGGTCCGGCATTTTAACGGATTAAACGATGGAAGAAGGGAGCAACGAGATATCGGTCGGTTTTATTTCCACGACGAGACGAGTAGAGTACACGTCCGATCGGTCCGTATCACGGACAATTCCACCGGACGCGTACGTCCCGGCGGAGATTACGAGGCGCGTAACGAATCGCCATCGCGATACCGGCCGGCGCGACGAGGCGAGGCGCGTCCGCCGGTTTTTTTCTTAACGGGACCCATTAAAACGCCATTACCGCGCGGCACCGTGGTTTGAGAACCCCGGGATAAATTGGTAACATCGGTCAGTGCCACCGTCGTCGCCGTATAAATTCGGCCGGCAATAATTGCGTCGCGATTTTCGAGAGTAGGGTCCGGGAGCCACAATTATTTTGTCGGCCCGGGCCGGCGCGCGGCCATTTCTCATCGGACCTGCCGAATCACCGTCGCGACATCCCGTCCCGGCCCGGCGCGGAGCATCGGACGCATTCCTCGCCTCGATCCGTTTCGCGAGCAATTTGTCGCGAGCCCCGAGAGATTCGAAAAGATCGGACGACTCTCTCGCCTGTCAGCCCGCGACACTCGTCGGGATTGCTCGCTCGTTACGGCGAGAGCCGCGAAATCGAGTTTCAGATTGCGCCGAGAGCGTGACGGCTGCGTCGCGCGCGAGGGAGTAAGACGCGACAGCCGGCAATGAGAGTGTGGATAGCGTAAAATCGCGCGATGAGTAGCGGCGGGTTTTTGTCGCGAATGATATTCAGTTTTTGCCGGCGGATCTGATAGGGGACTGGTCGGATTCAATTTATTGTTTCAGCTCGTTACTTTGTTCCCTTTTGTTAGTTGATTGTAAAGTAGTCGATTGTAAGTGTCGATAATGCTGGATATAGGAACAGTGAGAAACAGCGAATGTTTAATTAGCCATGGTAAAAATAGTATCGCTAACGTATCTGTAAATCACGGAGTCTACGTGCGCGGGACTCAGCGTCCTTCGCGAAAATCTGTTGGAACGAACCGTGGGGTGAACGTTCCGGCAAATAATTCCAAAAAACCAGCCCTAAGAAAATTAACCGTCCATTCGAAAACCCCAGGCGCCATAAAATATACACCGCGCCGGAGAGAGATAAAACCCAGGGTCCTTGACATCCCTTCGCGTTTCATCCACCGAGCGGGCACGCAACACGTTCTCCAGAATCCCCAGCAGTAAAACAGGAATAAAAGAGAGCCACGAATTAACCGATACAAGCGAAGCTTTCATTCCCCGGCACTTTTACGCTCGGCCGACGTTTTCCTCGGAGGCAAGGCCTTCAAGAGAGTTAACTTAAATTCGACGAGGATCATCGAGAGAGGAGAAAGAAGACGCGCGCGCGCGCCTGCTCAAGGACCCCGCGGAGAACTCGGGGGGCGTCGAATTAAAGGACAAAGGGTGAACCGAGGGAAACGACGTGGAAAGACCAAAAAGGAAACGGGGAGAAATAAGAGTTACGGATTTGCATCAGCGGGCAGAGCGCAAAAACCGCTTCGACGGGGGCAAGAAGCATCGTCGGGCGGAGAGGGCGCAGGGAACACTCGAGGCTGATGCGAGCCGTGCCGCGGGCAGCTTCAATTACCTTATAGAACGCGATCCACAGTGCCTGGTCGTGGTTCTCCTCCCGCCTCGGTATGTGTTTGCACAGCGCGTTGTGGTCCACGACGGTCGTCTGAAAGCAGCGGTTCAAAATGCTTTAGCACCCGGCGACTGAAACGGGAGCGAGCGTCTCCGGAGGCGGAGACCGCGTTTTTCCCCCGCGTCAATGGGAAATCGTTCCGTTTCCCCCTCGACCGAGCACTCGAGCCTCGTCGACGAGACAAAGAGCCATTCGTCGGAACACACCGCTCTCGAGAGAAACACCGAATCACGCGACGAACGGAACAATGATCGCCGCCGAGGAGTAAGGGGGACGAGAGGCAGGCTCGGTCGAAGGTGGCGCGCACCGCTTAAGGATTTAATTATTTATCGCTCACCTTGACGCGGCTCAAAGGTAACTGGGGGTCCGCTGAACCGTCGCCGACGGTGCTTTGCAGCAGCAACGCTTGCGAAACGTTCACTCGGTCCTGCGAACACAAGCATCGTGTCATTGTACGCCGGCTTCGCGGAGGATCGATGGGCCTCAATGGGAGTTTAACCTTTGATTGGGCGTGCGGAGTTTCGCGGGGCTTTTCAATGCTCGTGGCATTGTTGTTTCGCTCGGGGGGGCTCTCTAGTGTAGCTGAATTTACGGGCGTTTGCGTGTCGGTTTGTAACCGAATTTGCCGTTTGTTAATGGAAAGGTGTTCTTTGGAAACTGTGTTAATGTTACTGAATTCGATCATATTGCGATATGATACTTTAATCGTTCAACATTTTAGGGAAACCAAGATTCTACATAGCAATCACGACGTGACGAATAATTGTAGCAAAAGTTGCACGCTGAACGTCCCTCAATTTGCAGTAAAGTAGAGATGAAAACAGATGTACTATTTTTATACTTTAGTTCCAATTATTATACTTCCAAATGTCACCGACATAATATTATTTATAACACACAATTTTCTCCCAATAGTCACGTTTGGTTCAACAAATTCTAGCGATTTGATTCGCCGATTCCACGGCATGCAACGTGAAACAAGTAAACACTCGAGTAAAGCTGAATCGTCTGTCGACATAGAATCCCAAACGTTAAAGAATTGCAGAAAAGCTACTTACGTAGAAGGAAACGATCGTGTTACCTTGAGAAGGGCCAGGACCTTGTCCAGGAACTCGAGACACTCGGCGGAGGTGTTGCGTGCGAGCAGGGTGAATCCGTTCTTCGTTTGGTCCGCGCTGAAAGCAGAACGCAGGCAGGAAGAGGTGAGATTTCGGCTGAGGCGGAACCGTTCGCTCGTCGGGACGTTTCTCGGCCGGCTGACGGACAAACCGTCGATGGCATTCCGCGCGTACACGTGAGTCACCGTGATACGGTAGTCAACACGGTTGACAAGATCTCCCACGTGAGAAGCGGCGTGTCGTCGCGATTTCTCCTCCGAGTCATGCTCCGAGTGAAACGAGGCGTCCGCTCTGTCGACACGTCCGCGAGCCGATTATGCACGCTCGTCGACGTCACCGCCGTAAGGGCGGCGAGCCGCCTCGGTACGACCTTCGCCGCGGGGATAATTGATTCACGTTCACGGTTGGCGAGCTCGTTTTTGCCGATCGACCCGCTTTTTGCGCCCGATACCGGCGGATTGTGGATTTTATGCATCTATAATGTATGCAGCTGCGAGTGGCGCAAGAAACGCTTATTGAATCACTCTCCTGCATCCGCGGCGCGACAATGTTGCGTGACTGTGTAGTAACTAGTGTGGATGTTTGAATGTAACCGAAAGATTTCTGTAAAATTCAATTGTAAGTATCTTTTTAGAAATATGGTAGAACGAGGGAATCTATGGGGACAGTTTCTGAAAGTTGGGAAATGCTGTGTAGTAACTAGTGTGGATGTTTGAATGTAACCGAAAGATTTCTGTAAAATTCAATTGTAAGTATCTTTTTAGAAATATGGTAGATTGAAGTAATCTATGGGGACAGTTTCTGACAGTTGGGAAATGGAACGTTCGATACGTCACTGGGTGGCTCAATGCGAAGGAAAGAATCGAGAAAATTGTCTTCTAAGATTATTATACAATATATTCAAAAGCTGTAAAATCGAGTAAACGCTTGAATAACCGAAGAGAATATCATCTATTCCATTAGAATCGACTTAACCGCATCGGTTTCTGAGGGATTCGCATAAATATAATTTAGTTTACACATTGTCGAGGCAATGACACGGCGGGCTTTTGATATTTGTTCGCGGCAACGTTCCCGCGTTAATAATAGAGCTGTACCAATAATTCTTGCTTTCGAAATCTGTCAACGGGATTAGTTATTAGAAGCTTGCGCAACGAAGAAACCCAAGCTCTTCCAGTTGGCCGTTTTCATTCCGCGAGCAACGGTCTCGGGACATTTCGCCTCGAGGACACGGGTCGCAAAGGCGTATTGAATGCAGGAAAAGCGTATCACGATCCGCATTCAGTTATGACACGTGGGTGGTTTCGCGTAAGTATGCAGCGTTTCTCACGCGGCTCCAGTGGCACCCCTCTCCCCCCGCTCCGCCGCCCTCGGTCCCTTTCATACGTACAGCAATCATGCCTCCACTTCACAGTGGCGTATCCACTGGCCACAATACCACTCTTTGTACGCGTGCTCGTGATTGCTTCAATCCGCCTCGTACCTTTCACGTCCCTTCGGTTTGTCAGATGTCAAATGAGAACGCAACTATCACTCCGGCGCACACTTTTCCCTCTGATTCGCGCTCCTTAACGCTGAATCGAGCGTCCGTAAAAAGAAATTCTGATCATTCGCAGTTCCTTTCCGCGGAGAATGGAATAACGGTTGACAGTGAATTTTTTGAGAAGTAATTGTACAATAGATTTAATAAGTAAATCGTAGAATATACTGTTTCCTAGTTTTCTTTAAACAGATCACTTAAATAGCTATTTACGTAACTAATAAGTAAATTGTAGAACGTACTGTTTCCTAATTTTCTTTAAACAGATCACATAAATTTACCTATCATTCACGAAGCGTTGTCCATCATTACATCTCAGTCTCAAGCAAGCAGTAGCCGTAAAGACAGTATAGTTAGTAATCGAATAAACAGAGAACACAAGAAACCAGTAAAATAAATTTGAAGAGAATGGAAATTGAAATGCCAAGAGCTCCGAAGCCACCTGGCAGACAGAATACTCCGGGACAGGGAATAATCTTCGAGCCTCGAAAAGCGGAAGCGTCCGTCTCACGCAACAAACTTCTTTCCTCCCCGAAGAAGCGCGAATTCCACGGTTCCAGGGAACTCGTTAAAATCCACCGCGGCGGATACGTCACGGCGCGAATACCAGAAGCCGACACAAAGGTTGCGGGTACGAAGTCGCGATTCCCGTAAGGCAGCCAACCGATTTCCACGAACCCCGTGCGAGCTCGGCCGGGCAAGGAGGTAAGAGGGTCGTTCTCTCAATTAACCCCGTGACTTTTTCCGCGTAACCCGTCGAACGGGCCGCAATAATCCCATGACACGTGGATTTACAATTCGATCGTAACTGTCCGCCGGTTCTCTACGCCACTGCCCACTCTCGGGGAAGAGGCTCGTGCATTAGCAGCATTGTAAAGCTAGGACTCGCTGGGAGCAGCGCGCGCGTTCGGTATCGCGACAGCTCATCGTGTGTATACCTAAAACCACAGCCTGGCGACCTGGGTGGGCAAAGGTTGTCGAGCAAAGACCTCGTCACGACTAACCGTTTCCTTAGAACGAACGTCCGCTAGAATGCGGCGTCGTCCTCCTTTTGCCTGTTTTCTTCTCCTCCGCTCGAACGTTCTATCAGCGCCGCGTATCACGGCTGCGCGACGTAGCCCGGGCAGTCTTGGAAAAATTCGGTTTCCGTTGCTGGACGCGACGGAAGCGAATGAATTTCCAATCGGAGGATTAAACGTGTTTTTCTCTCGAGAGGCGGCGCGTTCGGCGTTTGCGCAATTTTAGAAGGGTTCCGGCGAGACGTTTCGCAGAGTCGGAGATCCGAGTCAAGGGGAGACAGAAGCCGCGAAATGAAAAACGAGCGGACCCATATACTTAATAATGTTCTAATGCCGCTAATAGCTGTCTAACGGCTGGACGCGCAACAGCTCGTGCGCGACGGTTTAATAGCGTTAATCGACTTCCAACGAAACGCGTCGCCGTGGAAAGAAACAAGTGGAACGGCGATGAGACGCTGGAACGTCGCGGAGGCTGCCTCGCTGAGATCGCGAGAATAACTGGGAGATAACAGTGAAACACGACAACGGAGCGGACGGTGGAAGGTAGTGTCGTATTGTCATCCTTGCGTAATCACTTTCAGACTACAATTGTGCTTAAAATCTAACCGGAGGAAAGCTTCTCGAACCAGTGAATACGAATTTCTCGAGCAATTCACCGTAGGATTCAATTCTGTGAGCCTCTCGTTAGCTGCGTGATAATGCAAACCAATAACGAACACTTCGAACGCAAGACAAAAAATCGAAACAGAACCTAACACAATCACACGTTCGTTCGATAAACTAAATAATTAGTCATTAACCCCTTGCCGTTGAATTATATGAAACTAAGGTAATTCTTTTAGTTCTTCAAAGATACAATTGATTGCAAACAGAGTATTACAACTATAATACAATTACAGTTATTAATTTCTAATATCTTACATTAATATCTAACTGCAAATAGAGATATTACTCCGCGTTCGAAGACGGTACACCCGTGGAACACGGTTCACCGGTTGAATCCTATCCTCCCGGAGCGAGAGAAGAACGAGACTTCTCGGAACACCGACTCGAGCCTCGAAGTTCCGAGTTCAGCCTCTCTCGGTCCACGACATTCTCAGATAACAATTAAGCAGCAACAATGAGCGGGGCGCTTAGGTATCCGAGCGGACTGGCACCTCGCCGCGTATCGCGTATCGCGCGAGAGGGAGTCACGACGTAGATCGCAGGATGATAGGATCGCGGGGGATCTCTGGCTGATCCAGTTGTGCACCTGACCGCGTTTCTGCATGAGTTATGGACGTGCATCAATCCTTTTGCCCGCCCCCCTCCGCCCGACCCC